TTTCTTAAAAAAAACAATAAAAATAATGATGAAACCCATGTCTGTTATATATTTTGAATTATTAACACCTTTTATATACTTCTGCACCTCTCTGTCGGTTTTCTTGTGTTTTCTTCTCTTTTCAAAGGTACTGCCTTCAACGAAGGTACTGATACAGCGTTGCCATTCTCCATTTATTCGTGATATTGCTAGCTCATCTGGTAAATAACGGGACCACCTATATTATAAAATCTGCTGACAAGTTCAAAGTCGGTCTCATAGACAAGTGGAAATGTCACGAATATGGTGTACTTACGGGTGAATTGAAGTTTTATAGACTTTGAAAAACTTTATGAATCATTTGCTGATAATTATTGTTTATTCTGCGTCTCTTATATATAACGTCAGTATCTGTACAAAAATGCTACTTACCTTCCTCAACTAACGCAATCATTTATGATTCCCGCGTGAAATTGACATGTATTTTTTCCATCACAGTTTAGATTTGACGCTATATCTATTTCCTTATTTGTACACTTCATTTTAAATGTTTCTCTCACATTTACCAGTATTAAACTTGTTTCTAAACTAACAAATCATATTATATATTCCATAAGTTTTAATATGTGTACATATGTTCATGCCAGCGAAAATGGCTGGTTTCTATTACGTAAATAAAAATTATTATTATTATTAACGGTCTGGATCCAGTGTGGCTTACTCCAGCACATGTATATCACCTCTCTTCTTACATTCCATTAACGCAAAATTTCATAATTCCCTCATGAATCTGACTCACTATGAGTATATTAAATATTATAATTTAGACTTGAACCAAAACCTTATATTCTATTATTATAAAGTTTCTAGAGGTCATTTTACAAATTTTAATTTCATAAAACAGTGTTCAATTTCAGACTGCACTTGTCTAATATGATCATGCCTGTACAAACGGTATGTGAATCATGTAAATGCTTAATTTATGTGAAAAAATATATATTACATATTATATTGTATTGAACCTAGGACTGAAATACTCACATAGTTATCATTTTCGGAACATATCTCCAAACAAGTGTCAAATTCACGCAGACTTATCGGCTTTCTACTCAGGAACTTCTACAGAAGTGAGTCCAGAATTCTGTTGTACAAGGTTTGTGTGCGTCCTTTATTTGATTACTGTTCATTCATGTATAGTAGTATAAGCAAAGAGGACAAATTGAAAGTTGAGGGAGTGCAGAGGTACTACACCTCAAAATTACTCGAAACCGAAAATGGTGTGAACTACTCCACTTGATGTGATACCTTAGGACTAGAGGACGAATTACTTCAAAATAAAAATTATTAATAAATAAAATAAAAAATAAATGCTGCTTGTATGTCACAGCTTGCGTGCAAACTCTTTGAAAAAATGGCTCATGGTACGATTTCTCTACTTCAGGAGGACATCTGACTGTATAAATCAGAACAACAGCATAAATCAGTATTAATATACTTCCTCTTTTCTTTTAAATAACTTATGTACTTTGGCATTTGGATTTCACTTCTTCAGTTACTATTCCCAACATTACCCTATATAAGAGTGAAAACCATAATTCGTTTCGCCCTAATTTTTACTTTATATTTTATTGTTATTCTACACTTCAGTTGTTGTTTACTACTATAAACTTAAACTAACCGTTGGTATGTAACACTATAAAACTCAATGACTCGAAATTCCTAGTAATAAAAAAGGAGAATAAACACTGCGGTTATCGCATATTGTTTACTTAAATTATCATTATCTGCTGGCTGCTTCTGTTTTCTTCACTTCTCGAAGGTATTGCACTGAAGCACTGCTAATGAACAGTAATCCTGCTTTCTACATTTGTATTACTTGAGCGGTATCCAGAATATTGTTAGCACTTACGATGAACAACGGAACAAATTCCATTCTGAATTCTGTTCAACATCGCAAAGTTAACTTTGCGACCAATTTGTCCCTTCTATCTGCTAATACCAATATAATGCTGTACTTACCATCTAATGTGGATTTTTATAAACTTTCGAACTCTTATTGATTGATAAAATGATAAAAATGACGGTCTGGATCCAGTGTGGCTTACTCCAGCACATGTATATCACCTCTCTTCTTACATTCCATTAACGCAAAATTTCATAATTCCCTCATGAATCTGACTCACTATGAGTATATTAAATATTATAATTTAGACTTGAACCAAAACCTTATATTCTATTATTATAAAGTTTCTAGAGGTCATTTTACAAATTTTAATTTCATAAAACAGTGTTCAATTTCAGACTGCACTTGTCTAATATGATCATGCCTGTACAAACGGTATGTGAATCATGTAAATGCTTAATTTATGTGAAAAAATATATATTACATATTATATTGTATTGAACCTAGGACTGAAATACTCACATAGTTATCATTTTCGGAACATATCTCCAAACAAGTGTCAAATTCACGCAGACTTATCGGCTTTCTACTCAGGAACTTCTACAGAAGTGAGTCCAGAATTCTGTTGTACAAGGTTTGTGTGCGTCCTTTATTTGATTACTGTTCATTCATGTATAGTAGTATAAGCAAAGAGGACAAATTGAAAGTTGAGGGAGTGCAGAGGTACTACACCTCAAAATTACTCGAAACCGAAAATGGTGTGAACTACTCCACTTGATGTGATACCTTAGGACTAGAGGACGAATTACTTCAAAATAAAAATTATTAATAAATAAAATAAAAAATAAATGCTGCTTGTATGTCACAGCTTGCGTGCAAACTCTTTGAAAAAATGGCTCATGGTACGATTTCTCTACTTCAGGAGGACATCTGACTGTATAAATCAGAACAACAGCATAAATCAGTATTAATATACTTCCTCTTTTCTTTTAAATAACTTATGTACTTTGGCATTTGGATTTCACTTCTTCAGTTACTATTCCCAACATTACCCTATATAAGAGTGAAAACCATAATTCGTTTCGCCCTAATTTTTACTTTATATTTTATTGTTATTCTACACTTCAGTTGTTGTTTACTACTATAAACTTAAACTAACCGTTGGTATGTAACACTATAAAACTCAATGACTCGAAATTCCTAGTAATAAAAAAGGAGAATAAACACTGCGGTTATCGCATATTGTTTACTTAAATTATCATTATCTGCTGGCTGCTTCTGTTTTCTTCACTTCTCGAAGGTATTGCACTGAAGCACTGCTAATGAACAGTAATCCTGCTTTCTACATTTGTATTACTTGAGCGGTATCCAGAATATTGTTAGCACTTACGATGAACAACGGAACAAATTCCATTCTGAATTCTGTTCAACATCGCAAAGTTAACTTTGCGACCAATTTGTCCCTTCTATCTGCTAATACCAATATAATGCTGTACTTACCATCTAATGTGGATTTTTATAAACTTTCGAACTCTTATTGATTGATAAAATGATAAAAATGACGGTCTGGATCCAGTGTGGCTTACTCCAGCACATGTATATCACCTCTCTTCTTACATTCCATTAACGCAAAATTTCATAATTCCCTCATGAATCTGACTCACTATGAGTATATTAAATATTATAATTTAGACTTGAACCAAAACCTTATATTCTATTATTATAAAGTTTCTAGAGGTCATTTTACAAATTTTAATTTCATAAAACAGTGTTCAATTTCAGACTGCACTTGTCTAATATGATCATGCCTGTACAAACGGTATGTGAATCATGTAAATGCTTAATTTATGTGAAAAAATATATATTACATATTATATTGTATTGAACCTAGGACTGAAATACTCACATAGTTATCATTTTCGGAACATATCTCCAAACAAGTGTCAAATTCACGCAGACTTATCGGCTTTCTACTCAGGAACTTCTACAGAAGTGAGTCCAGAATTCTGTTGTACAAGGTTTGTGTGCGTCCTTTATTTGATTACTGTTCATTCATGTATAGTAGTATAAGCAAAGAGGACAAATTGAAAGTTGAGGGAGTGCAGAGGTACTACACCTCAAAATTACTCGAAACCGAAAATGGTGTGAACTACCCCACTTGATGTGATACCTTAGGACTAGAGGACGAATTACTTCAAAATAAAAATTAATAAATAAAATAAAAAATAAATGCTGCCTGTATGTCACAGCTTGCGTGCAAACTCTTTGAAAAAATGGCTCATGGTACGATTTCTCTACTTCAGGAGGACATCTGACTGTATAAATCAGAACAACAGCATAAATCAGTATTAATATACTTCCTCTTTTCTTTTAAATAACTTATGTACTTTGGCATTTGGATTTCACTTCTTCAGTTACTATTCCCAACATTACCCTATATAAGAGTGAAAACCATAATTCGTTTCGCCCTAATTTTTACTTTATATTTTATTGTTATTCTACACTTCAGTTGTTGTTTACTACTATAAACTTAAACTAACCGTTGGTATGTAACACTATAAAACTCAATGACTCGAAATTCCTAGTAATAAAAAAGGAGAATAAACACTGCGGTTATCGCATATTGTTTACTTAAATTATCATTATCTGCTGGCTGCTTCTGTTTTCTTCACTTCTCGAAGGTATTGCACTGAAGCACTGCTAATGAACAGTAATCCTGCTTTCTACATTTGTATTACTTGAGCGGTATCCAGAATATTGTTAGCACTTACGATGAACAACGGAACAAATTCCATTCTGAATTCTGTTCAACATCGCAAAGTTAACTTTGCGACCAATTTGTCCCTTCTATCTGCTAATACCAATATAATGCTGTACTTACCATCTAATGTGGATTTTTATAAACTTTCGAACTCTTATTGATTGATAAAATGATAAAAATGACGGTCTGGATCCAGTGTGGCTTACTCCAGCACATGTATATCACCTCTCTTCTTACATTCCATTAACGCAAAATTTCATAATTCCCTCATGAATCTGACTCACTATGAGTATATTAAATATTATAATTTAGACTTGAACCAAAACCTTATATTCTATTATTATAAAGTTTCTAGAGGTCATTTTACAAATTTTAATTTCATAAAACAGTGTTCAATTTCAGACTGCACTTGTCTAATATGATCATGCCTGTACAAACGGTATGTGAATCATGTAAATGCTTAATTTATGTGAAATATATATTATTATTATTAGAGACACTATGGCTAAGACGCCTGAGACTAAACTTAACACTTTACTATAAACTTCTAAACCACTCAGTTTTTACCTCTACTAATGGCACTCGACTTTCAGATGACAATGGCTACAAACTAAGACACACTAAGGGTACAGTGGCTATCGAACAATGTAAAACAGCCACCAGACAAAAGTTTTACTTGATTAGGTATGCACAGATATGGAATAAACTACCAATGGAAATGCGTCAAGCAGGTACATTGGCCTTCTTCAAAAAAGTGCTTAACGACAAACTACAAGAGTCTGCAAATGATAGTAGTCCTAGTTCCCATCTGAGAGCCTCCGAAATTATAGGTCCATTTAATGTATAAGCTTAAATACTACACCTGTTGTTTTTTGCCTATATTTATAATTTTAGATAAAACATTAACGATTAAGATACTTACCCTCAAACAGACAAAAAATTTCATCTGTGAAACCTCTACCCAACACAATAAGTGGAATAAAATGGCCATAAACCGACAACATGAAAAAGATATAACTCACCACAACATCACATGGACAGATGTACGCTTGTTGGGCATCATATATGTCTCACCAGCTACAACCCAACTTTCCTAAGATAATGTGATGAACTTATATTCATAATGTTGCTGAGCAGTTAATATTCTCAACTCCTGTCGGAACAACTAAAATTCAAAAACCTTCCTCACGAGAAGTAAATACCCACAAGCAGTAGAAATCCATTAATTAATGCATCTAGAGCTTATGTATTTTGCTCCCAACAATGACATTGCAGATCAAATGAGATAAACAAATCACTGATCTCAAAATAACACATCAATGAACTATAATTTAAGGATTCTGCACACAACAAAGTAATGTACGAAAATTGACCACAAGCTTTATTTTTTTCCCGGGCACTTATAACCCATCCACCAAAGACCTGGTTCTTTTTGTTAATGCGAAGACAATACTTTTGTATTTCCTGATGTGTTGCACTCACTGATAATCTAGCAGATTTTTCCAACTATGCACAGAAATGATTGTACATGAGTGAAAAGGCTGTTTTATACTATTGGGATTAACACCTGATATCTATGGTCGGCCTGCGAAATTTGGGCTACCGATATCCACGCTGAAAATTCCACACTTGTACCAAAATTACGGTGTGGAATCAAGCTGCAATCAAAAATAAAAAAAAATAAAAAAAATAAAATAAAAATAAAATCTCCAGCGTACATGTTAAACATATTTTGCTATCGACCGTAAATTGTGACTGAATAATATGGTCCTATTTCTGTAACAATTTGATGATGCCTGTAAACTGGCATCTCTCATGTACTGTACCGTGAGAATAAATCTATTTATTTATACGTCACCGTCACTAGAACTGAGGCAAAGTGAGTGACAAATCGATAGTGAATGGATATGAGGATGTGCAAAGAGTCTCATGAGGTGCTGCTACGGCCACGTTGCGTTCTGCAAGGGTCATTCTAGCAAGTGGCGATTGTGTTACAAGATGTCAAGAAGATGCCTTTAACTGGAAGGCGTAGGTCGTAATCGATGTGTGAGATTGTGCTGTGGGTATGTCTGTGGTGTGTTTACTTTGCTGTTTGTTTTCCATTTGAACCTTGTCCGAGTGGTCCAGGTTCTCGCACTGGAGTCCAAGTCACCATGTACGGGTAGTGATGGAAAAAGGAATGGATCTGATTTTTTCCGGGGAGTGTCAATGTAGTTGAAGATTGGTTGTTTGCTCAAACCCAACTCTCTATTTTGGCGGGAGTCATCGACACTGAAATCATCGTTTCACCGCTCGCTGTTCGTTGGAGGACAGAAAAATCTATCTGAAGTATTTTTGTGGTTTATTTTCATGACATCTATTTTTAGACCTTGTGTAGAATAACCTAATATTTGGCTCTGTATTGGCACAAGAATAAACAGTTCTCGAGTCATCAATTTGTGTTCTGGTTTTTTTTGCGTTGGTTATTATGCATAGTTCCTGGAAGTCTTCCAAGGACAGTGTGGAGTCTAGCGTAGTTAGACTTGGACATTGACAACATGCTTTGCTCAGAAGTGTGACATTACACAGAGTGGAAGCATCTGTGTCATTGACAACGTTTGGAGTCACATTTCCACTTAGCACTAATCTTAACCCCAATATTACTTACCATATTATACTTCTTAACACACAAGAAAGGGTTCAGGGATCACGATCAGAAACCAGCAGTCTTTTCATATCTCTCAGTTTCAACGGTCACTTCTCACATTTGTAGAAATGAGCTTTGTATCGTATCCTTCTTATAAATATCAGTTCCCTCATTGTTTAGTTTCAGTATTAAATGAATAGAATACAATCTACAGATTCATGAAATTCACATACTGACGTACTTCTTTTCTGAAAACCTAGTTAACGTCTCCTCAGTAAAGTGAGAAATGGGTGTTTTACTTGTGTAAATTCAATAGGCTGTGAACTGCTGTCATTGAAAACGACAGCAATTCTTGGAATTACCGAATATAATTTTAGCTTGATCGCGTGCAACATTCAGCCGTTGTTAAATAGCCACTTGTTGAACATCGAATCCATACGGAAAGTGCAGAAGATATGGTGCAACTTGCACACTCCTGATTTCACTATGAAGCATCCATGCTAAAAATAAATTACTTTATAGGGGCCTACACAGTTCACAAATTAACTCACAACACTGAAGTGGAAAAATTTGTATCCATAAATATAATGGGCTTACTATAGCAAATCTTGTGAAGTAACTTTCTCATTCGGAAGATTGCGGCGAGGTTTTCGTAATCTTTTACCACATGTGCGATCGCAGTGCAACCCGATGCGCAGTGGTATATATATGAATAAACTGAAAAATAATGTCCCACTTACCTTCTCAACAACTTGTCCTTATTACAGGATAACAAATTTCTTTCACCTATGAGCCTAAGTTATGTCTATGAAATCGCAATGTTACATCAATTAAATCTTCTCCCAAAATCAAGGTCACTTGAAACCAATAGCAACAAGCATCATAGCTGGGACATGTGTTAAAGCCACTCCATTTTTTCCACCACTAAATCCTTTCGAACTAAAAGAACACCCGTTCTATTACATTTAACCGCCATCCTAGTCGAATTCAGACAAGGGAAATATTCTGTGACCAGCCTCTTAGTGATGCGTTTGTACGTTTGAATGATGACATAAATATTCCGAAGCTTGAGAAAATTTTGGTTCATATACACCATACATTGCTGTCTTGTTCGCCCTCTTAATTCCAATAATTAAAGGAACCTGGTATATATAAGGAGGGAGGGTGGCGTTAGCTGATCAGTAGATATGGTGGGGGTCACTAAGGTGAATCGCCCCATTCTGCAGGAACAGCAATATACAAATTAAAGGCTCGAGATATTTCTGATTTTTATGAGGGCTTAGATCTTTATCTTGAAAAAGATAATAACGAACGCCTTGACAGATCATGCTTCTACCTTTAAATATATACCATTCGCTCAGCCTATTGTTGAGATGCGACCATGTGGGATCTGCACAGATTTATGGGGCATCTTATAAATCAACCTGCTGTCCATTGTCGGATCTTTAAATACCACTTCACAATGTCTTATCGGATTCATTTTCTAATAACGTCTTTACTTAATCCTCATTGTATCCCATTAAACCTAACATTTTATAGCTCTTTATGAATTTGATTCGACTTATTCTATTCCTATTCTCTGTGAGGTACGGTTGTGCACCAAATGCACAAAAAAAGCATAAAATAAAAAAACAGACATAAGGAAAAAATGTATTAAAACCAAAAGTGGACATCATGATAGAACGAACTACATTGGTAGCATTATACATTGCAAATGAACGTTGTCAGCCTAGGGAGTTTTCTATATTAATGCATTTATTAGTGATACTTGCAGTTACCCATTTCATTACACTTTATTGATTCACCTTAGCACTTTTAGTTTTCTAAAAACAGCTTTCAATCCCTTGTAAACGTTGTACTTACCTCAATATTGGTTGGTTATCGTATGCCGACAACCACGGGATGAAAACGAAACGAAGTCGATTTTCCCGCTCAACCTGGAGGACAATTGTACAATTCAATAACTATACAGCCTAGTTCAGACAATGTGTATTTATATATATATCAAATATTTAACTGTTGAAACATTATTAACTTGTAAACAATCTACGATTTGATATTATATCATACTTGATCGTGCCTGTAAAAATGGCATGCATTTTCATGTAAATTTATATGTTTATATGAGAATATATATTATTATTATTATTATAATATACTTGTTAATTGGACCTGTTGGGTTTTTTAGACATCAAAGATGGTCTCCTGGAGAGTTTGTTGGTTTAAATACCAACATATTTACAGCATCAATGAGAATACTACACAGGAAATTTTCCAACAATTGTCGGCTTCTCATCTCAGATAGCCACTGAGGAATACGAACATTCCGTCGGATTCAGCTTCAAGAGTAAAATCGATGATTTGGTGGGCATTGTTGGAGGTTTGAAGTAAGTTTCCAAGGTCCAGGTTCTCGTCACAAATGATGAAAGTGTCATTAGTGTATCACTTGGAGGTCAGAGGTAGTCGATGACAAGAAGAAGAGCCTATTCCTATGCAATGTGTAGATTTTCTCGTCGAATCTGAAGTAGACGTTGAAGGTAAAACGAAGTAACAGGTCCTTCAGATAATGGATCAGTATGATGAAATCTGTGCCGCTGCATAGGACGAAGTCACACAGAAAATATATGGTCTCTGTTGGAGGAACATTGACGAAGAGAGAGAGACAACATTTTATCTGTCAGGTTGACATTACTAATTGAATAAACGAAATCAAATGGATTGATGCCATGTTTTTGTTTGGCCACCACTTACTCTTTTCCAACCTGCACCTATATCAGCTAGTAATGCCCGTCGGGGAGGCGATGGTTAGGCATGAGCAGCACGTGACCTAGCCATCCCAATCTATGTAACTTTATAGCCTCATTGGTTGATTTTCCCTGTTTTCCCTATCACTCTACACCTAACGTCAACATTACTTACCTTATTAAATCACCTAACGTGAGAAAGAGATCGCAGACATCTATGATCGAGAGTAGTCAACCTTTTCATGTCTTCAACTCGTATTGGCCATGTTTCAGAGCCATAGAGAAGGACGGAGCGAACTGCTGAGCAGTACACACGTCCCTTGGTTGATAGCTGGATGTCACGCCTGAGCTAGAGATGGTGTAAGTCAGCGAAAGCAGCTCGGGCTTTTCGGATCCGTGCTGAGATTTCATCGCCAATCAGTTTGTTGGTGCTTCCGCTTCCACTTCCACCTCCCAAATAGGTGAAGTTGTCAACATGTTCTATCACTTCACTCCCTATCACTAAGCTAGGAGTTGACGTAGTCCAGTCCTGTAGCAGCATCTTACATTTTGCAGGGGCGAATCGCATGCCAAACATACGAAGATTGCTGCTCAAGGTGTTCAGAAGACTCTGCATTTTGTCAGCATCCTCCCCTAACAGGACTATGTCACCTGCATATTCTAAG